GGGGGAAGGAGAAAGAAGTGGAGGTCTTTCCAGTAAGGGAGTTTTCTCTGGGCGAGGCCAAGGGGGAGGTTTTTTTTTATTCATTCTATCTATTTTTTTCGGAAAGGAGTTTACTCGTGCAAAGAACAAAAAGAAAAACATAGAAATATATTTCAAATGTATGCATATAGTTTTACATAAATACATCCACATACACACATATCTACAAGTACATACATATATATATAGAGAGAGAGAGCGTGAGAGGTGATGAACCTCCTCGTTGATACTGGTTGGCAGAAGTGATACTAATTAAACAACTGACTCTTTACTAATAATAGTTAGCACACGAGGTAAACACGATACGAAACTGGTCAGTGCTATGGGTGGATCCGCGACAGCCCCCCTGGCATGGCGGGGGCACGGGGGCAGAGAAGCAGGATCGCTCTCGTAGAGTGGGTGTCTTTGTCTAAGTGAGCGAGACTGGGTCAACCTGCACTGACTTCTCATAGGCCTGGGTCACTCTAAGAGGGAGCAGCATGGCGAACACATGCTATCAGTATAGCATACTGCATAACATTATGTATTGCTAACTCACTGACCATGCAGGTTTGCATGCCATGCTGCTCCCTCATGGGGCAATTCTAAATATATGCTCCATGTACACTACCCAAGCCAGCCTGGATCATGACCTAGGTCTATAAGAAGTCAGTGCAAGTTGACATACTCTCACTCACTAACTCAGACATAGACTCACCACTATGAAAGCAATCCGGCCTCTCTGCTGACCGTGCACCGCCTTGCCAGGGGGGGGCTGCCACGGATCCACAATTAGCTCTGACTAGTTTCATTGTAGTCTGTTCAACTATGTGTTAAACATTTATAGTCAGCGTTTAACTAGTATCACTTCTACCAACCAGTATCAATGAGGAGGTTCATCACCTCTTGCAGCTGGTGGCAGCGGTGGGATTCGAACCCACGCCTCTGAAGAGACTGGTCGGGCAGAGTAATATACGGGAAATGGCTGACTCTTTATTAATAACAGTTAACACACGAGTTGACTCAGGTGGATCCGCGGCCAGCCCACCCTGGTGAGGCGGGGAAACGGCCAGCAAAGATGCAGGTCGCTCTCGTAGAGTGGGTGAGTCTGTGTCTAAGCGAGTGAGACTGGGTCAACCTGCGCTGACCTCTCATAGGCCTGTATCACAACCCAGGCTGTCTTGGGTGGCACACACGAGGGGGCGTATATTCAGAATCCCACACGAGGCAGCAGCATGCCGAATACCCAAATGGTCTGTGAACTAGCATGATACATTATGTTATGCAGTATGCTAGAGAGAGTAAGAGAGAGTCTGTGTGTGTGTGTGTGCATATATAATGTGTGTGTATATAATATATATGTATAAATATATGTATATAACACGAATCACACCTATTATTAGAGGAAACTCTACTGATAAATTAAACAATCAATAAATATCACCCATACAACTAAACTCCTCACCAGATATAAACCTACAGAAGCTTCAAATACTCCCCTTGATAATTATAATCCACAAAAAAACAATGTTCCTCATACCCCCATGCCCCCCCCCCCAACAGCACAGGTCCCCCCATACCCGCTACGTCATCGTCACCCACGAAGCCTCTACCACATCCGGGGCATCAAGTCGGGGAGCCTCTCCAGCTACAACGGCGTCTTCAATTGGACTCTGCACTACCGCAACGACGCCGATATCTACGCGCCGTGAGTGAGAAAAACGTCTTGTTTCATTCATCAAAAGAGAGGAAAAGCGCCTTCATTCGTTCATTAAGGGAGAATATAGCGTCTTGATTCATTCATTGAAAGAGAGGAAAGAGTATTTATTCGTTCATTAAAGGAGTGTATAGCGTCTTGATTCATTCACTGAAAGAGAGGAAAGGGTATTTATTCATTCATTAAAGGAGAGAAGAGCGTCTTGATTCATTCATTGAAAGAGAGGAAAGAGTATTTATTCATTCATTAAAGGAGAGTAGAGCGCCTTGATTCATTCATGAAAAGAGAGGAAAACCGCTTTCGTAAATTCAAGGGAAAGTCCAGGTTATAAAGAGTCTTCATTCATTCATTAAAAGGGGGATCTTATTAAACCTGAATGAGAAAAGAAAGGATTGCTAAGAGATTAGAAAAAGAGAAGGAAAGGTGAAGAATGAATGCGGGTTTGAGAGACACAGGAGAGGAGCGGGAATAGGATCGGAAAGGCAAGGATCTAATCTGTCACAGGGAATCTAATTAAGTTGAATTTATGTTTTTTTCTCTCTTTTTGAGTTTATTCTGAGAAAGATTCTTGTCTGTCTATTATGACTTACATATTCAATGTCTTATTTTGAAAGATGTTCCTTGGCATATAAATATATGAATATATTCAAGTATTCCCTATGATTTCAATTGAGACACAACTGCCTATATCATAGTATTGATTGTTGAAAGGTTAAGTACATATAACTTTAAATCGTCAAACATCACAAAGAAAAATAGAAAGAACGTGACATACCGATAATAAGACGAAGAAGAAAAGTAAGACATTGTATTCCAGGGACTATCTAAGAGACGGGTAATTAACTTTAACAAACCAAAATCAATACTGCCTTCAAAAAAAAAAAAAAAAAAATAAAAAGAGACAAACTGATTAAGCTCTAGAAACAGTCACAACATGACAAAGAGCATGATCGAAAAAAGACAGTTATACAAACGACACACAAAAAAAAGAAAAAAAAGGACATAAACAAAAGATAAATTCTCGTAGGAGACGGACACAAAAAAAAACAGACAAACAAATTTTCAGATGACAGTGAAAAAAAATGCAAAGGACAGATTAATGCAATGTCATCAGGGGAAAAATCCCGTCATATTCAAGGGACTGATTTATAAAAAGTAAAAGAAAAGAGAATCAGACAGACAAACAAACAGAGACAAATACAAGAAAAAAAAACAGACCGACATAATAACCCGAGGAACTAAAAGCAAAACCCATGCAAAAATGTAACCTTCTATTACAATTAATGATATTAATAAATGACAATAATAATAGCTACAGCATGCACGACTAATAATAATAATAAATAAATAACAAGAGCTACAGCATGCACGAACAATAATGATAATAAATAAATAATAATAGCTTCAGTATGCACGAATAATAATAATAAATAAATAACAATAGCTACAGCATGCACGAACAATAATGATAATAAATAAACAACAATAGCTACAGCATGCACGACTAATAATAATAATAAATAAATAACAATAGCTACAGCATGCACGAACAATAATAAATAATAATAATAATAATAACAGCATGCACATAATAGCTACAGCATGCACTATATGCACGAATAATAATAATATAATAGAAATAAATAGCTACAGCATGCACGCTAATAATCATATACAGCATGCATTACGACATGCACGAATAATAATAATTAATAAATCATAATAGCTACGGCATGTACGAGAGCCTCGGCGAGAGGAAGATCGGGAGGCCGACCGCCGTCATGAGGAACAAGACGAGACTCATCGCTTGGTTCGTCTCCGATTGCAACTCCATGAGCGGCAGGGAGGAGTAAGCGCTGAGATTTTCCTTTTTTTTCTCTTCTCTCTATCTATCTATCTGTCTATCTGTCTATCTCTCTCTTCTCTTTCTTTCTTTCTTCTCTCTCTCTTCCACTCCTCATCCCCCCTCCCTTCTCTCTCTTTCTATCTTCTATCTTCTCTCTCTCTTCCATTCTTCCTCCCCCTTCTCTCTCTTCCACTCTTCCTCCCCCTTCTTCCCCCCTTCTCTCTAATATATCTTTCTTCTCTCTCTCTCTCTCTCTTCTCTCTTCCACTCTTCCTCCCCCTTTCCTCTCTCTCTCTCTCTCTCTCTCTCCTCCTCTCTCTCTCTCTCTCTCTCTCTCTCTCTCTCTCTCTCTCTCTCTCTCTCTCTCTCTCTCTCTCTTCTCTCTCTCTCTCTCTCTCTCTCTCTCTCTCTCTCTCTCTCTCTCTCTCTCTCTCTCTCTCTCTCTCTCTCTCTCTCTCTCTCTCTCTCTCTCTCTCTCTTTTCATGATCATAATATATCCACTCCCTTTTGCGTATTGCTCCGCCCATATGTTTCCCTTGTCGCTTGTTTTTTTCTTTACAGTTCTACGATTCACGACACTAAGTTTCTCCTCCATTTTTCAGCAAACTCGCCTACTAATCCTCAACCTCATACCATCTCCAAATCCACAAATCAGTCACATCTATTTGCTTAAACCATTAAATATTAACAACCACCATCCTCAACCTCATACCATCTCCAAATCCACAAATCAGTCACATCTATTTTCTTAAACCACCGACCATTAACGACCACCAAGACCCCTCGGGCGACAGACTGGTGAAGCAACTGCAGAAGCACGTTACAGTGGACATTTACGGGGCGTGTGGGACTCTCACGTGCATCCGGGGCCAGTCTGACTGCGAGGGCATGTTGGAGAAGAAGTACTACTTCTACCTCGCCCTCGAGAACTCCCTTTGCGAGGACTACATCACCGAGAAGCTTTACTACACCTTGAGGTTTGTCCTTGAGTGTGCCGTGTCAGGAAGGGTTAATATATATTGTATAAGAAAGTTTATAAAAGAGGAAATGTTTATTATCATTATCAATATTATTATCATTTTTATTATTATTATTATTATCATTATTATCATTTTTATTATCACTATCATTACTATTATCATTATCATTATGATAATTACTGTAGCTATTATTTATTATTATCATTTTTTTATTATTATTATTAATGTTATTATTATTATAAATGTCATTATTATTATTATTATTATTATTATTATTATTATTATTATTATTATTATCATTATTATTATCATTATTATTATCATTATCATAATTACTGTCATCATTACCATTATCGCATTCTTTTATTCCTTTTTTGCTATAAGTTTACCCACAACTTAAAGCATAAGAATGCCATGCGAAAGTTGCTCACATCATGA